CTTATCCATTTTTTATTTGGCTTTCCCACGTTTCAAATTCAGTAGGGAGACGACTAACCTTGGCTACGTGACGTGATTACGTAGGGACCTCTTCACTAGCTGACCACCACTACCAAGACCTGTGTCAAGATCAGTTACTTACCTCACCGGCCCTCCCCATAACCTCTATGTACAAATAAGAGAGCAGGTCTGGAATCAGTGTGGCAGGACAGGATGATTACATAAAAAGATCACCGCGCTTTTACATGATGGTCTTTCTGGGGGGCGGGAGAAATAACGAGGAGGCAAGTTGATTTAATGCTGATCGCTTTTATTAGAATGTTTACAGTGTGAACAGTGAAAAACGAACAAAGTTAAATCTGAGAGGTACCGGATCCTGTTCCACCAGGATCTGGCTCAAATTAAGCACTGGGCAACTAACCATTCTTGTTTGTCTGTTTAGCTGGAAGGTTTTCTTCTGACTCAATGGTTTGTCTTCTCTTTCTGGTGACTTAATTTTCCCCTAGAAAAAAAACAAAATATCAATGTAAAACTGTGCATCCTTTTTCAGCCTCCCCAAGAATGGTTAATACAGTAAATATAGTCAAATAGAAGGGCGGCTACATCCCCCAAGTTAGACTAAAGAGGTCTAGACCTGCAGCTCTTTGATGATTAATTGACAGTTCCTTGAGGAACGGAAGTTTGGGAAACGTCTCTTGCAGTTCTTTGCCTATCAGGAACTGCAGAAGCTCCTCTGCAGCGGCGGTTCCTTTGTGGATCACATGGTCCAGAAGGTCACAGGCCTTTTCTAATGCGTCAGTGAGGGCTTTGGCCTGCTGGTACTCATGGCAGGACACTAGGCTGAGAGAGTCTGAATGCTGCTGCACAAAGTCAGGGTCTGCACTCAGAGCATCCATCAGTAACTGCTGGGTACCACCTAGGTGTTCCTCTTCAGCCATGATAGGCTAGCTATCCCTCATACTGTTATCTACTCTGGACGTGAGAAAATTATGCATTACAGTAGCTATCATTAAATCTCCAAATGAAAGCTGACAACATGCAGCTGTAAAGCAAGCTGTCAAACTGTCTTAAATTCTCATCACATGCATATTTTGATTTCATTAAATTAACGTGATGTGCTAGCTGGGTATAGACTGTATATACATTGACAGGCAGCCAGCAGGCGTGAAGTGACTGAGTCCTGCATGGTTGGCATGATTCACGATTCAGCTACCGAACTCGTTCTAACAGATTAGGTTTCTCCTGTATACAAGTTCTTGTGAGTTTATGAAATTGCATCCAATTGCAAAAGCGTGGAGAGAAGTCATATTTCGAGGCCCAACTTTAACATGTGAGTGAGCAAATTCAGTGATGAGGTACTGTTGTTGTTTGGTGTATGTAGGACAAGTGTGTTAGCTAGCTAGCTGTGGAGGATGATGATCGTTCATAATGGCCCATCAGTATCACCCTGTTGGTCACCAGTCGGAGTTGTTGTTGATGGGAGTTGGCTGGCAGTTGCAGCAGAGCAGACCTACCACATGAGACTGACCTACCACATGAGACTCGTTACCGCAAGGCAAACCAGTGAAGTGGCAGAAACAGCCCCTTCACAGTCAAAAGGAGGTGCAGGCCGGGCTGGCTTTCAAATGGCTTTTATTACTCAACATGCAGATAAGAATGACTAAGGGGCATTTCCTGTGACTGTGAGGAGCAAATGTTTACTTTTTATTCATGAGAAAATCATCTTTATTTATAGGCTTCTAACTCCTCTCTCTCCTCCCATGACCGTCCCAGCTAATACAAACAGGAACAGAGTTTCACTTCCAAATATATAAGGCTAGGAGAGCCGAAACCGAGCCAATAACTACATTTCCTCTCCACAATGTTTGTTTGTGTCTATTTGATTATGGTTTCTTTATCCATGGGTTTCCAAATAGGTCATTCTGTGTTGATTGGATCTCATGATTTCATCATTGGAACACAGAACATTGTGACTCATGATGGGAAACAGTTCTCACATTCTGATCCCTGCTGCTGATGTCATCATGTTGTGATTTAGATGACTAGTTAAGGGACATGTCTACATGCTCATGCTTGCATTTAGGTACAGGTTACTGCCAAAATAAAGGAAACATAAGGTGTCTCAATAGGGCGTTGGGCCACCATGAGCTGCCAGAATAGCTTCAATGCGCCTTCGCATAGATTCTACAAGTGTCTGTAACTCTATTGGAGGGATGCGACACCATTCTTCCATGAGAAATTCCATAATTTGGTGTTTTGTTGATGGTGGTGGAAAACGCTGTCTCAGGCACTGCTCCAGAATCTCTCATAAGTGTTCAATTGGGTTGGGATCTGGTGACTGAGACACTCACACACACACACACACACACACACACACATTAAACCCCCTATGCCCCTTTCCCAGCTAGCACATAACGTTCTGAGAAACATATGTTTCTTAGAGGTTGGTGAGAAATATTTTCTTGGCTTTGGAACATTCTCAGCACATTTAAGAAACTTGACAAAATACTTTTTTTTCTTGGTATTTCATTACTTTAAAGAACGTTTCATAAAAGTTCAAACATGGTTACATTTCATTTCAATTTTGGTAATGTTCTAGGAATGTTCTGCAAATGGTTTGACATTGGGAATATTCTCGAATATTTCAGAGAACGTTAAAAAACAACATTCTTCTGTGGGAATTTCAGTACTTCAGCATAATGTTTTCTGCACGTTTCCTCATGGTCCTATTTAAAGTAATGTTTTCAGAAAGTTCAGGGAACGTTAAGAAACAACGTTCTTCTGTAGGATTTTCAGTACTTCAGCATAACGTTTCCTACAGGTTTCCTCATGGTTCTATTTAAAGTAATGTTCTCAAATTGTTCTGAGAATGTTAAGAAAACGTTCCATGAAAACCACAAAACTTTAGTAACGTTCAGAGAATGTTTTAAGAATGTTATTTAAAAGTACATTCCATTCTCAGCTTCAACAAAAATCTCTCTATCCTCGATCTTGTTAAGTATGTTCAGGTATGTTGGCCGTGATCACTAATTGGCCACACCTGATCTTAATTAGTGCTTTTTTCCTTTGAAATGGGGTCTGTTTGAATAGATTAAAATGAACAGCTTTGTATGAGTTTAAAAAAACATGGCATGCTAGCTCCATCCTGGTGGCGCAATGGACTAATTCCATGGATAGAGAACAGAAGATCATCGGTTCTAATCTCACTGTGTGACAATTAAAAATAAATGTGTTTGCATGATTAATGCCTAAGCAAATGAATTTCCATGTGCTTGGAGTTCAAAACAGTTAAGCTAGTGGTGTCAATGTAAGTCTCATTGAAACATGTTCTCAGTAATTTATTTACCTTCAAATAATCTATAATTTCCTTTCTCAGAACATTAATAAAACCTCCCAGGAAAACTTTCAGGGAGCAATAGTAAAACGTTCTCAGAACCTCCCTGCAACCTAAAGATGTACATTCCCAGAACAGGCAAAATGTTCACTTCCGTTCTCAGAACATTTCAAAATTGTTCTGTTTTACCGGTCAAGAAATGAATGACTTTGTTCCCAGAACCAATGGATAAACAAAAACGTACATTTACACAACTTCCAAGGAACCAAATGTACTAGCTGGGTTGCAACCCCACTTTCAAGGTCACTGAGCTCTCTTCTTCTAGCCACGGTTGACAAAATACTGGGCAACTGGGCATTTTTATACTTGCTTAATTAACTCAGCAACCACACCTGTGTGGAAGCGCCTGCTTCCAATATACGTTGTATCCCTCATCTAAAATGTTTCCTTTAATTTGGCAGTTACCTGTATGCATACAACTTGTTGTTGAGCGTAGAGACAGCATGAAATACCAGACAGCTTGGCAGACATGGAGTATACTCATTGTAATGTTCGATGTGATAAGTTAGTGAATTAATAATCAGTCATTCTTAGCATGGATGCCATGTAATCAGGATAAGCCAAAAGGTTTCACCCGTGGTTCCTCCAAAGACACACAGACCACCCAAAGTCAAGCCAGAGAGAGTTTTATCCTGATCCACACAGGGTTCTGACTGTTACACAACTTTAAATGAAACCCAGTTTGTATTCTCTGAAATCCTGTCTGCCGTAGACATAGTTATCTGTCAGGTTACATTTAGCTTTAGCGACACAGAGCCCTGCCCTACACACAGTAGAATCATGTGGTTTGGATTAGACTGTAGTGATGTGACACTGATGTAGCCTAGACCCTGGTGCCATGCTATCTGAAGCTTAGCGGTCCTCTTTAACCACATGGTATTAGACGGCAGAACAACAGTGTCTTAAACATCTTAGAGGAACAACAAGGTACAGAGGATTTGTTTTGGTATTGGTTTATTGACAGACAGACCTTTTGAGTTGAAGAGGGATGAGAACATGGGTTTGATGGCGATAAGACGTCTCAAGTCTTTTGATCACAGACACTCAGTGCCGTTTGTCTGGATTGTGAATGACTCACATCCCCTCAGCCTTTGACCTCATGAGAAGGTGGGCGGAGTCTGTGCCACTTCCAGGAATTGAGTGGGATTCTTCCCTTGATGTCATACTGTGTAAGGAGGTGTAGGCTACACTGTATGTATTCACCTTGTTTGCTTTTAGATTCACCCTCAGGAACACAGGGTCGTCACTAGTTAACACAGCCACAATGTCATAATTATGTCTAAACCACGTCCATTTCTACAATTTCTCTTCTTAAAATGTGATTTTAAACGTAACTCTAACCTTAACCTTAACCACACTGCTAACCTTATGCCTAACCCTAACCTTAAATTAAGACCAAAAAGCTAATTCTTTGGTGTGCCAATTTTGACTTTGTGGCTGTGGAATCTGACTTTGTGGATGTGATATCTAGTGTAAACCGGAACACAGTGGTTTAGATGGGAGGGACTCTGACTGTACCTGCCAGGTGGAAGTAAATGCTGCATCGTTATTGGTTGGAGTCTCATGGTCTTAATTTGCTCCCTCCCATTTCTCCAAGCATATTACAGACTTCTATGAGCACACAGCAGTGCAAGACAGCAAACTGTTACTGAGGCACTGAGGAGAAGGAGACTTGAAGAGCAAGAGAGAAGGCAGAGAGAGCTCTACACTTGAGACTGAGTGAAGTTGAAACAAGCATCAAGTAATAAGAGAGGAGTGATAAGATAAGATAAACACAAAGGTATGTAATGTGCCTGAGCTCGTTTAGAATTTTTTTATGGGGGGAGAGATGATTATTTGTTTGTTTTCATGAGATGTGATGCAAAACAGCTTGTTTGTATCTCATGAATGAGAAAAGAAACAAAGTATTTTTTATAAAGCTGATCTTAAAAAATATAAAGGCTTATCATGGTATTTAGACATCAGTCTGGAAATACTGCTTTGAAAGTCAGGAGTTAAGTTGGGTGCCTAAGTTGGGTCTATTCATTTTAGTTGTTTGCTCTCTGTGCTCAAGTAATTTCCTATATTTTTAATGTGTAGTCAATCATACGCTGCTGGCAATTTCCAAAATGTGTTGTCTGAGGTGATATTTTGATTTGATCTGTGTGTAGTGTTCAGTGGATAAAGAGGAGGTGTTAAAGCTAGCCTATATTCCAGTGCAGCAGATTTGGATAAATGCCAACCTGCTAAAATGGGGACTTTTTTTGCTGACCTAAATATTATTCATAATAACGGTGAGATCATCACCATGGTTTGTGCTGGATGTGTGGAAGGAAGGTGTCTCATATTTCTTCTTATAAAGGAATATATAGCCTAGGTCTACCTGTCTCGCCATACCTCTGTTCAAAAAGGACATTTTAAACTAATAGTTTCAGACAGTACTATGTTAGCTTATTAAACTGTACAGAACCCAAGAGGCTTTCCCCTAACTGGAATCCTCATCATCCAGATAGGCTAATTGTTTTTGTCTGGTGGACCATGTGTAATCCTAAAATGACAGTTGAAATGAGAGTGCATGCATGACAGTTAGGCTGAGAGTGAGTGCATGTCATGACAGTTAGGCTGAGAGTGAGTGCATGTAATGACAGTTAGGCTGTGAGTGAGTGCATGCATGACAGTTAGGCTGAGAGTGAGTGCATGCATGACAGTTAGGCTGAGAGTGAGTGCATGTCATGACAGTTAGGCTGAGAGTGAGTGCATGTCATGACAGTTAGGCTGAGAGTGAGTGCATGTCATGACAGTTAGGCTGTGAGTGAGTGCATGTCATGACAGTTAGGCTGTGAGTGAGTGCATGTCATGACAGTTAGGCTGAGAGTGAGTGCATGTCATGACAGTTAGGCTGAGAGTGAGTGCATGTCATGACAGTTAGGCTGTGAGTGAGTGCATGTCATGACAGTTAGGCTGAGAGTGAGGTCATGACAGTTAGGCTGTGAGTGAGTGCATGTCATGACAGTTAGGCTGTGAGTGAGTGCATGTCATGACAGTTAGGCTGAGAGTGAGTGCATGTAATGACAGTTAGGCTGAGAGTGAGTGCATGTCATGACAGTTAGGCTGAGAGTGAGTGCATGTCATGACAGTTAGGCTGTGAGTGAGTGCATGTCATGACAGTTAGGCTGAGAGTGAGTGCATGTCATGACAGTTAGGCTGCGAGTGAGTGCATGTCATGACAGTTAGGCTGAGAGTGAGTGCATGCATGACAGTTAGGCTGCGAGTGAGTGCATGTCATGACAGTTAGGCTGCGAGTGAATGCATGTATCTGCTTGCCCTGGCTTCCAGTCAGTCTGTGTGACGTCCCAGGAAACAGGTGGGTACTTCACGGAACTGTATGACACAGAGATGACTGGGCAAGGCCTGTGCCTGCTGATAGTAGCTTGGGGACTTCAACTTCATGATGAGTTCAGTGTCTCGATGAGAGTTGGATGAGTAGCTGCTGTGTGCTGGCTACTGCCTTACGCAATGCTGATTCATTCATCCATAGGAACCACGAGTCATTCTGTAGCCTACTGTCATTCACTGCAGCCTGCTCATACCATAGACACATGGCTCATACACAGTCTTCTCCCACATGCTGAGATTCTGCTGCCATGAAGCAAACACATCTGAGTTTTTTTATTTAGCAGGATTTCTAATTCCAGAAGAGTATACGAGCAGTATGATTGTCTAGGGTAGAATTGTGAGGTTAATTCGACCTCATTTTTTTCTCCCTCTCCATCCAGCTAGAGCAGTTTTCCCCCTGAGAACAACAGAGATGGCCGTCACTCCATTCAGTCGCAGACAGTGGGCCTCCCAGTCCCTCAGAGTCACAGCTAAGGAGTTGACCATAGTCGGCACCAGAGGCAAGAACAATGCCATCGCTGAGCGCTTCTCCAAGTAAGTTTCTCTCACTCTCTCCCATTTACCCTTACTGTGACTGTTATCTTCCTATTATCTTCTCTTCTCATACAAGGACTCTTCACATTTAAACTCACCCAGATGTATCTATTCTCTCTCTATTGTACATACCCTTGTACCAAGGTAGAAACACACATACTCACTCCAGTATTGCTATTCTCTCTCTCTCCTCCTGACCACTGATGGCTTTTTCCACCCCAGTCTGCCCTGCTGCCTGAAACCATAATCATAGATCACCACTCACTCCCACTCTTTGTCCTCTCCTGTCCTGTCCTCATTTGTCCTTTCCAGTCCACTCCTGTCTTGTCCTGTCCTGTCCATGTGTTTGCTGGACCAGTACAAGATAATAACTTTAAATGGCTTGAAACTGTATTTGATAACATTGCTGATTTGTACTAGCCCGAGTGCCAGCCTGCTTGTGCTATCATGCCAACTCATTGTCTCTCAGGCAAGAGGACAACCAGATCAAGGACCAGGCTGGATTTTTACCAGTTTGTCTAGCCAATTATAGAAACAGCACCGGCTATGACATGTCTGAGATTGGATTAGTCCCCCTTCATACCTCTCTACTTTCAACAGTTTGACATTTGTTTTTCCTTCTCACCTGTGTTCCCTTCCAGCCGTTGCTATTCTGTGTAGAATGATGTTTATCCATATCCCCACAAACCTGTTATTCCAGTTTCACTGATGTCGACAGTTCTTAAATAGTCAAGATAGGTCAACTGAGATGAACTTCCTGTGAAATGTCTCCTTTATTCTCCCAGATCACCATCCAGCGTATTAGTAGGCCACTTTAGTGAAGGAAACGTCCCTTTTGTTATTTTATGATTGATACATGGTCAGGGTCATTGACATACGTAGTTCCATATTTTTGATATTCTGAGAAGGTTTCAGTATCTGACCACTAGGAGACAGCGTTGATCCATGTTTATGTGTATTGTTGGAATTAGAAGGGAACCTTACAAACGTTTTAGCTATAGAGAGGCTAAGACGGGGCTGTAAACGGCAATACCTATAAACTGCTCTACCTCATTACATAGGCCTATGCTCACAACCCCATCTATCCTCTTCCTAGATACCAACTGGCTGCAGAGGAGGGCAACTCCGAGAGGAAGAAAGCAGTAAGTACCCAGTCAGGGTTGGAAAGTGCAAATATCTAATAAAGCTATAGAACCAATTTCTCTCTCTCACACACACATACTTACTCATCCTCACTCGCTCTCTCTCACACACTCTCTCTCTCAGACACACACACACAAATACACACACTCACACCGCAGGTGGGCCTATAAACACACACACACACGGATGTCCACATGCTGCACTTGGAGGCTAGACTTGTAAAGCCTTAATCCTTATTTTGAGACTTTAATCTTAAGGTAGATAATACCTCCACTGTCGTTTCACATCGCTGCTCCTGTTCCTGGGTGGCATGAAGGACTACAATGTAATGCCTGATCCCACCTAGCCGAAACATCCACCCTTCCCAGTGGTCAGTTGGCTCGGCCTGGGAATGGGGATATAAACAGACTGCAGGGATGTAATTTTTTTCTTCATTAAGCTACTTTTTAAATTCCAGGTAGGTGTCTGGAATAAGTAGATCATCAGCTGTTGTACTGTATTGAAAGCAGTGCTTGAAGTGGATTGAAATAGGCGCCGGCACTCATTTTGGGTGACAGTTCTGTTTACATGTATATTTAGGTGCGGGAGTGCTGCAATAATTTGAAGCCTATATTCTATAGGAGGTGCGGGGACTCGAGCAGTAGAACATTTGAAGTGCCGGGGGGGGGGTCTTCAGTTTGGGGAGGAGGCATGCCACTGGTTCATAATGTTTGGTGTATACATATTGTAATTTTTATGATATGTTATGAATTCCAATTCATACAATAAGTTACGATTTTGTAAGTGCTTAAGATTCCGGACTGCATCTTTAAATGGCTGTAAATCTTTATTTCAGCTTCACTTATCTTACTTTCATGGTTGTTATGTCAACACAGGACAACGCTTCAGTTGTTTACTTGAAAGAAAGCATTGAGATCTTTTTCATGGGTAGGCCTATCTTGTGTTAAACATCCCTCAAAGTGTTCTAGTCATATGATCCTAGTCATTTGATGAGCATGAGAAACTGTGGTCAGCTGGTTGGGTTAGCCAGGGAGAGGTCTTGTTGGTAGAAAGATGCTACTCCGGTTGAATGCTAACTTTAGCTTTATTAGAATGAGGTTGGAGACTCTTACTCTTGTATCCTGAAACTATTGATGTGACTGGTATCTGTTCTGTCCTATTACCCATTGGTCTCTATATCTTATCTCCTTCACATGCTGCTAATAGTATTACCCCATTGCCCTTCTGGGTTGAATTCCACAGTGTTTCTGTACTAGGATTCTATTCTTGGATTCTATTTAGGCACACACTGTACAAACTGTACAACCCTTTTGATTTATGCCATTGCTATGTTTCTGCTAGTCAGACTGTAGGAACAAGTTGAGGAGTAGCCCTGGTGGATATAATGGGTATCTTAATAAAGTAAACTTTCTCTTTACGTCCTCCTCCAGGCTGCAGAGCTGTTGCCCCCAACTCTCCGCAGTGGCAACCTGAGTGTGTTGAAGAAGCGCTGGGAGCAGCCTGTCCAGTCCTCAGCCACGTCCTGCGCCCCACTACCCCACACCACCCACACTCGCTGCTTACTCCCCTCAGACCCTAAAGCCAAGCATCAGACCCAGCCCCAGCGCCAGGCCACTGAGGCCCAGCCACCTCTTTCACCAGACCCCAACACCAGCCCCACAGCTGCAGAGGACCAGGCAGGACCAAGCATGGAGAGAAGACTGCAGCAGAGAGACCCAGAGAGGCAGGAGGCAGCAGCAGTAGTACCTTGTGTCCCCAGTGAGAAGCCCAACATCCCCATCAACAACCTCAAGACGATGTTCGAGAAAGGAGAGAACCATCAGAACGAAGCAAGTCCAAATTCACTGATTACAAGCTAGCGTGTATTTTAATAGGATATATTCTTTCATGTCACATTTTCAGAGACACCTTTTTTACTCTTTACCTTACATTTAATTATTTTACGTCACATAAATAGTGAGAATGGCTATTGGCAGAATGGAAACACTTTTATATTGTTTAGGTATTAGGAGAGTGTTGTTGTGTGGATCAGGTGGTGTGATTACACATGCTGCTCTGTGACAGTGACTTAGTCGATGGGTTTGCTAAAGATAAGCCCCATGTGTTTTAATCCGAGGTCAGAGGACTCCCTGAAGCTGAAGTATCATAGTTCATAAGACAACTAGTCTGTGTGTCATCATTGTTCCTGTTCTAGAAGTGAAGGTGTCGTGTTCTCCAGGGGTCAGAGCCCTCCTGGTATTAGTCCTGCTGCAAGTCACATGCACCGCTATGAGTGTTCTCATCTCACTACAGAACACTCCTAGAGATGGGCTAGATGTCAACATGTCCTCAGGCAGATAGGAGGGGTGCTTCAAAACAACCACTGTCCTATCCTCCTCATGCTCCCTGTGGGGTTAACAGCCATGTTGATAGAAACGCAACATGGAACAATTTCAAAGATTTTACTGAGTTACAGTTCATATAAGGAAATCAGTCAATTGAAATAAATTCATTAGGCCCTAATCTATGGATTTCACATGACTGGAAATACAGATATGCATCTGTTGGTCACAGATACCTTAAAAAAAGGTAGGGGCATGGATCAGTATCTGGGACAAACCAGTCAGTGTCTGGTGTGACCACCATTTGCTTCATGCAGCATGACACATCTCCTTCGCATAGAGTTCATCAGGCTGTTGATTGTGGAATGTTGTCCCACTCCTCTTCAGAGGCTGTGCGAAGTTGCTGGATATTGGCGGGAACTGGAACACACTGTCATACACATTGATCCAGAGCTTCCCAAATATTCTCAAAGAGTGACATGTCTGACTATTCAGGCCATGGAAGAACTGGGACATTTTCAGGTTCCAGGAATTGTGTACAGATCCTTGTGACATGGGGGCGTGCATTATCATGCTGAAATATGAGGTGATGGCAACGGATGAATGGCACGACAATGGGCCTCAGGATCTCATCACGGTATCTCTGTGCATTCAAACTGCCATGGATTAAAATGCAATTGTGTTCGTTGTCCGTAGCTTATGCCTGCCCATACCATAACCCCACCGCCACTATGGGGCACTCTGTTCACAATGTTGACATCAGCAAACTGCTCGCCCACACGACACCATACACGTGGGTCTGCGGTTGGACGTACTGCCAAATTCTCTAAAACAATGTTGGAGGTGGCTTATGGTAGAGAAATGAACATTCAATTCTCTGGCAAAAGTTCTGGTGGACATTCATGCAGTCAGCATGCTAATTGCATGCTCCCTCAACTTGAGACATCTGTGGCATTGTGTTGTGGGACAAAACTGCACATTTTTGTGGCCTTTTATTGTCCCCAGCACAAGGTGCACTTGTGTAATGATCATGCTGTTTAATCAGCTTCTTGGCAAAGAAGAAATGCTCACTAACAGGGATGTGTACAAATTTGAGAGAAATAAGCTTTTTGGGCGTATGGAACATTTCTGGGATCTTTTTATTTCAGCTCATGAAACATGGGACCAACACTTTACATGTTGCATTTTATTTTTGTTCAATGTAGATGAGCTCATTTAAAAGCAAAGGATCATTTTAACCCTTTTTTACTCGAGTCTAGACTTAAAGTCCATTTTGTTTGTTTTCCTGGCTTGTACAGTTAGTTATTGAATGTGAAAGGCCAGACTTTCAATGTAACTTTCCTATGAGGTAGGGTTTTAGTTGACCTTTGATCAAGATTCAGACCTTTTTTTAATCAGAGCCAGTGCTGTGGGTTAACTAGCTTACTACTCGGTCTTTGAACATGGACGCCCGCCTGGACACCAGATCAGAGGAGTGTTTTGTTGCGGCTTAACAAGTTGCCTCACCTGCCACACCCCAGCTGGCTGAACCTTCCTTAACACGTTGCTTCACCTGCCACACCCCAGCTGGCTGAACCTTCCTTAACACGATGCCTCACCTGCCACACCCCAGCTGGCTGAACCTTCCTTAACACGTTGCCTCACCTGCCACACCCCAGCTGGCTGAACCTTCCTTAACATGTTGCCTCACCTGCCACACCCCAGCTGGCTGAACCTTCCTTAACACGTTGCCTCACCTGCCACACCCCAGCTGGCTGAACCTTCCTTAACATGTTGCCTCACCTGCCACACCCCAGCTGGCTGAACCTTCCTTAACATGTTGCCTCACCTGCCACACCCCAGCTGGCTGAACCTTCCTTAACACGTTACCTCACCTGCTACACCCCAGCTGGCTGAACCTTCCTTAACACGTTGCTTCACCTGCCACACCCCAGCTGGCTGAACCTTCCTTAACATGTTGCCTCACCTGCCACACCCCAGCTGGCTGAACCTTCCTTAACATGTTGCCTCACCTGCCACACCCCAGCTGGCTGAACCTTCCTTAACATGTTGCCTCACCTGCCACACCCCAGCTGGCTGAACCTTCCTTAACACGTTACCTCACCTGCTACACCCCAGCTGGCTGAACCTTCCTTAACACGTTGCTTCACCTGCCACACCCCAGCTGGCTGAACCTTCCTTAACATGTTGCCTCACCTGCCACACCCCAGCTGGCTGAACCTTCCTTAACATGTTGCCTCACCTGCCACACCCCAGCTGGCTGAACCTTCCTTAACATGTTGCTTCACCTGCTACACCCCAGCTGGCTGAACCTTCCTTAACACGTTGCTTCACCTGCCACACCCCAGCTGGCTGAACCTTCCTTAACACGTTGCTTCACCTGCCACACCCCAGCTGGCTGAACCTTCCTTCCTTACTGAAGCACATGAGCAGCTCTTTCTCATTCTCTCAGCTAACAGCCAGGAAGTGACCTGGGCTACCCCTTCCCTCGACCTACACTCCCACCCCTAGCCCTGCCCCTTCCCTCGAAATACACCCCCACCCCTAGCCCTGCCCCTTCCCTCGAAATACACCCCCACCCCTAGCCCTGTCCCTTCCCTCGACCTACACCCCCACCCCTAGCCCTGTCCCTTCCCTCGACCTACACCCCCACCCCTAGCCCTGTCCCTTCCCTCGAACTACACCCCCACCCCTAGCCCTGTCCCTTCCCTCGAACTACACCCCCACCCCTAGCCCTGTCCCTTCCCTCGAACTACACCCCTAGCCCTGTCCCTTCCCTCAACCTACGCCCCTGCCCCTTCCCTCGACCCCCACACCCAGCCCTGTGCCTGGCCTGCTCCCTGACCTGTAGCTGAGCCCTAGCCCCTCTCCTCAAGAAGTGGTGATGTCATGGGGCAGGCATGCACATTACTGCAGTAGAGAAGAAACTGAGCCTCCTCTGATAACACTCCCTCCCCTGGTCCTCCCTGGTTTATCAAAGCAAGGCCTTCTCTCTTCTGCCCCTCCTCCTTCTCTCTTCTGCCCCTCCTCCTTCTCTCTTTTCCTGCTCCTCTCTTCTCCCCCTCCTGCTCCTCTCGCTGGAGGAGACGGCCATGAGGGAGAGGCACTGTGAAATTAATTGACCCAACTTCATCTTCTCCCTCCCTCCTTTCCAGCCCCACTCCCCTCCCCTCCATATGCCCCCCTGAAGGCTTCCCCTCCTCTCTGCTTCTCTCTCTCTGTGTGACTGTGATGAGGCAGAAAGGAAGGACGAAGGAGAGGCACCAGTCCAGTGGAGCCACAGTGTAATGAACAGAATCGAGTTAGCTGCTGTTGATGTTCAAAACTCCTCCAGGACAGGCATGAGCGCTCCAGCTTAACTTTTCTCCTCTCCTCTCCTCTTCATTGTGTTCCACTCTGCTTCTCCCTGTTGCTCCTAGCATTGCTTTGCGAGAGGTAAATATGTTTTTTGTTCTTTGTTTGGTCTCAACCCTCGATCTCGGACCTCCTTAAGTTCACTTTTAGTACTGTGGCTCTGAAACAGTCGAGGGCTTATATTTGTAGTTTGCTTTCTTTGCTAGTTTAGTGTGTTTTTATTAGGTTACAGTAGATTACGCTGTGAATTGAGTCCTTTGATGGGAGGGCTAGCCTATACACTGACTGCACTATGGTTGGTGAATTATGGTTACTGTCAGTGAATGGGCTTTTCAAGGATTTTTTCATATGCTTTTGTCAATGGTGGTTTTGGGCTATATGTAGCCTACAACTCACTGATTTTGAATTGACCTTTTTTGTTGTTAATGCTCTGATGCCCAGGCAGCCAGCCAGCCGGCGGTAGGCTTCAGGGAGGAGCCTCTGTCTGTATCATCTGTCTCTGGGGGTTTTAATTGTCAGTGGGATTAGTGTCAGCTCTTTGTCTGGCCTGCTGATCAGTTCCTCCCTCTCTGAGCTCAGCTGCCTCCTGGCCTTTTGTTTGTTTACAGCCTCCACCATATTGTTGAGGCACCACCCGTGACCATAGTCTGGAGAGGAGAAGGGTCCGGCTGAATCTTGGTCTGGCTTGGGAGGGGACCTCCAGCTGGATTAGAGTGGGGTCTCTCCACCTGGGGTCCGTCTGGGCCAGCTGGGGTCTGGCTCCCTCTAGAGCCTAGATTAATCCACTCTGGAGGATGGAACAGCACGTGTCACCCCCTTCTGCGAATGCAGATCTAAAATCCAGACTGCCACAAACGCACAACGCTATAAAGACTTTTCTTCCAGAACAGCACTGCTCTGTCTCCTCTTTGTATTTCAGGGTTTTATCCACCCTTTGACCCCTCCTCTCATCCCCCACTCCGTCTGTGTATTATTAAGGCTGTTCCCGGTGCAGTCCCAGCCTCCAGGGCTCTGTGACACCCTGCTGCTCTAATCTCTGATACTGATCACACTCTGGCTAAAAGGCTCTGCATGGTCAATCCGACATTTACGCTGGCCGTATAGCATTTACTGCGATGCCGCCTCCGCAGAAGTCAGAGCATTCATACTTTTTGTGCTTCATGGAGCAGATCTGTCGTGAAGGAAGTTGTCAAGGATGTGAGTTTGCTTATACAGGACCTCCCGCCCCCACCTACCGTCAACCAATCATGTCAATGCGGCACTATAAGGAGCTATACGGAGCCCTCCGCATTGTAACAAAATTTGGGAGGTGTACGGCGATGCGGTACAGAGCTCGATTTGGCCTCCGCAGGCCTGGATCGCATTTCCGGAGCAAGCATAAATTGGCCTTTTACAGACACAAGCGGTACAGACGGACAGGAGGCAGGAGACAGAGTGCGTCCCAAATGGCACCCTATGGGCCTTGGTCAAAAGTAGTGCCCTATATATGCCATTTGGGCCGCACCAAGAGGCTGTTCTCACATTGAGTGTGTGGAGGCCAGGTGAAGCCAGTCTTGACTTGAGTCTCTGCTACTACAGGTGTGTGCCAAGAACAGTGTGTTCTCCTCTTGGCTGTTACCTCTAACCTCTGCTCTATGAAATCCCTCTCTCACTCCTGACTGCTGAAATGAGGGTTGAAAAGTTGGTTGAAATGCAGGCAGCCACTCTGTCCCCATGTCTTTAGGTCTGAAAGCGTCACCGAGCAAAGTCAGTTTGATCAATGCAGTCCAGTTGGTTATGTAGCCCTATTTGGTTAAAGTCTTAGGGTCATATGATGGAAGATTCCGAAGTGTCCTAATCAACAACTAATCAGACGGAACACAACATCTATGCATAGTCACTTTACCTCTACCTACATGTACATATTACCTCGACTAACCGGTACCCCTGCACATCGACTAGGTACTGCTTGTATATAGCCTTGTTATTGTTATTTTGTGTTACCTTTTTTGGGGCTGTGTGTATAGGCTCCTGTAGCTGTGTTCAGTGTTCAGCTCTGCTCTGCCCAGTGCTTTGTTCTGTTCTGTGTGTGTCAGGGAGGCAGGTGAGCCTCCTGACTGGAGTGTGACTGTGGACAGGAGGACCGACAGGGGTGTCTGCCTTGCCTCCCTCAGGCTCTATCTGCCCCAGGCTCTATCTCACTGAGCTCATAAGGGGATTAGAGTAGAGAGGGCTGGGAGAGGCTGGGCAGGAGAGGCATACAGCCAGGACGGGATCTGGACAACAAGCCAGGCAGCTAATGGAACTGACTGACTCACTGACAGGCTGCCATACTTCTTCTCTCCCCCCTCTTCTCCACCCCTCTTTTCCTCTCCTTTTCTGTCAGAGCACATGGCTCAGAACTGTCTGATGGATGGCCCTGGTTCTCCCCCACTGTTTGTTTATGCTAGCCTAGAGCTAAATATGTGAGCATCATATGGTTCTGTATGCAAACCACGATGCAGGAGCTGCTGGCATTAGTTAGAATGTTCAGAGCCTGCTGAGTCTACAATGTAAAGGCTACCATAATGGAATGTGCTGTCCTGATAGCATGACTTGGTTCTGTGTTTCCAGGTGTCCAGAGAGCCTGTGAGGATCGGAGGCATCACTGATAACATGGACCAGCTACTTGGCGGTACTATTACACTGAGGGGAAACACACACACACACACACACATACACACGAAATGGGACAACAGAGTTAAAAGCAGATGCATTGTTCTCCATGAGTATATTGTTTCACTAGGCTACACAGAAGTACAGAGAGACTAAAACATATGTAAGTTTTTCCTTCCTGTAGCTGTTTCAGTGGTGTAGACTGACTGGAGAGGGCTGGGGCTCACTCGTGCTATGATCAGCAGAATGCCTCAGTGATTACAGGAAGAATGATAGTTACAGGAAGAGGGCTTTTTCTTTCTATTCCCCCAGTGAACCTGTTCCGATCACAGCCTGACAAACACCATGGTTATGTCCCAAATGTCCTATTCCTTAATAGCGCACTACTTTTGAACAAAGCCTATGGGGCTCTGGTCAAAAGTAGTGCACTATATAGGGTGGCATTTGGGACATACCCCGTGACCCACAGTCTGCATTGTGCTGAATCTATAGCCTGTACTTTCATTTACATAGCTTATGAGAGGTGTGTGTAACCTGTGCTTCTCTCGGTCTGTCTCCTAGATGCAGGGAGCGTAGAGTCCGTGCCACTGCGGGACAGGATGGCCATGTACCAGGCTGCTGTGTCTAAAACTGAGGTGTTATCCTCCTCAGTCAGCGTGAGTACCTGTCCTGTCCTTTACTCTCGGACTGCCATGGAAGACTAACTTCATTGTCTATGGTTGCAGTTCTCAAATCTGACTGAACTTGAGCTCAAAGTAATAACTTTTGGACCACAGGAAGAATAGCTGCTGCTTCGGCAAAAGCTAATGGGGATCCGAATAAACCACACCAAACTTCAGGCCCATCCCGGCCAGAACCTGTCATGTGCAGGTTACTTATCCCAACTGTAAAACAGGTCCCTGTCGTTCTCTCTCTAACAGAGTGATCAGCTGGACTCAGACCTCCTCCTCTGCAGCAGCAAACAGAAGGAGAATGTACCCCCAGGCAGTGGGGACATGGTGAGGAACTGTGCTCTTTGTGTCTGTGTGTGTGTCTATGTCTGAAACATCCCTAAATCATCATCCCCTCTCCTCTCCCTCTCCTCTCAGGGTTCGGACTCTGAGCCCAACAGTAGGAAAGCCTCTTCCACAGAGAGCAATGGTAACTCTTTTGGTCCTCCACTACATTTCACCAAATCTATATTCTTGTCTGTCATTATTTGTCTCCTCAACTGAGTGTACAAAACATTAAGGACACTTGCTCTTTCCATGACAGACTGACTAGGTGAATCCATGTGAAAGCTTTGATCGCTTTTTGATGTCACTTGTTAAATCCACTTCAATCAGTATCATGGTCTCCAACAGGTTAATCGGAGCTACCAGTAGCTAGCAGACCACTTATGAGTAGCTCGCCAAACAATTCTGAAAGTATGTGCAATTTTCACCTGTTCCACCGCAAACTGTCCTAAATCTCAAGTATCAGACACCGCAAGCTCCCAGCTACTATCCAACCAACGCAACTTTGACATTATACCACCCCTGGTTAGCCACTATTGGCTTAAAAAGGCAAACCTAACACAATATCTGCCAATTAAGTTTCAGCAATAATGCCCCTTTCTGTCTGTGTGGTGCTGGCGTTTGTCTATCACTCCGTGTGTAGCCAGTAGTGATGGGTTGTTCGCAAACGAACGGCTCTTTTTGGTAATCGTCGGGAAGCGAATCGCATATGTGAAAGAGCCGTTCATTTGGCTCCCTGATTTGCATCACTTTTACTATAGCTTTTTGAGCTCCAGACATCGATTATCTGCAGATTAATTATAAAAACATGATCTGAAGATGGTCATTCGCAGTGCATGAACAATATAATGAGGAGAGGCTCATTCTGGTCCACGCTAATTTTTTCAGTGCATTACATTTTATCCCCCCCAAAAATGTTCAGGCCATCTAATAATTTGGTCAGGTAAAAATGTATTTGAACTCACATTTCACAATCTGACATAACGGTGGGCAACGTTCTAACCTTGAAATTAGAGATTGACAATTTTTTTTAATGGTTTTAGGTCAATTTCTAAGCATTACTGAACGAAGAGCCGTTTGGGAACCAAATTAACGGCTCTTTTAGGTGAACAGAGCCAAATGGTCCGGCTCACAGAAAAGACTCGGAATGCCCATCACTAGTAGCCATTTGATGTGATAACCGTCTTGTGGGCTGACAGAAATACTTTCTCCTAAACCTTCTCAATTAAATGTTAATTGCACAGTAGTCTTACCTGGCAGAAGTATATCATGAGTAAGTACATCATTAGTATATTTTATTTGTTATTTGCTAACTTTGCCATGAAATGAGCAACAGCAGTACAGAACCGTCGCTAAACCTGCACATTAGATGCCAATTAAAGGGCCAGATGCGCAATTAAGTGTAGATGAAGGGGCGGAGACAGGTTAAAGAAGGATGTTTAAGCCTTGAGACAATTGAGCCTTGAGTCCATGCCCGACGAATTAAAGCTGTTCTGAGGGCAGAGGGTGTGCGTGCACGTAAGCAACTCAATATTAGGAAGGTGTTCCTAATGTTTGGTATACTCAGTGTATGAGGTTTCAGTTTGTGGGCATTAGGTCAGTATATTTACAACAGCTCCCTCTGGTGTCGAGTGAGTCATTACTGAAATTAGTCTCATGTCACAGCAGGCTCCAGTACCGGCACCTCCTCTGTATCCTCTACCCAGAAGGACCAAGCTCAGCCCAAGACCTCCAGGGTGAGTTCAACAGTCCCTTTTTTGCATTTGTCTCAGAGCAAACCATTCAAACCATTCACTAATAATAATAATAATAATAATAATAATAATAATAATATAATAATATGCCATTTAGCAGATGCTTTTATCCAAAGCGACTTACAGTAATGTGCGCATACATGTTTACGTATGGGTGGTCCCAGGGATGGAACCCACTACCCTGGCGTTACAAGCGCCATGCTCTACCAATTGAGCTACATTCACTCTCCTAACTAACCTGCCTTGAATGCCTCTCTTTGTTTTGTGAGTGTGCAGAGCTTCTGCTTGCCTGCACAGGAGAGTTGTGTGTCGTGTCAGAAGACCGTCTACCCTCTGGAGAGACTGGTGGCCAACCAACAGGTCTACCACAACACCTGCTTCAGATGCTCCCACTGCAACACCAAACTCAGGTGAGTGGATTGGACAGAGGCCATGCAGCAAGGAATTGTTTGTTTATTGTTTAAACATCTGTTAACCTCACTGTTAGTGGACTTTATATTGTCGTTAGGTCCACAGTCTTGTTCCTCTTGAGTTTTCAAGGATGAGGGTTTTTGCTGCTTGATTATAAAAATGATTGTTTTTCTCAATGTATGTTCTTTGTCTCCCTCTGCTGGACAGCCTGGGGACCTATGCCTCTCTGCACGGCCACGTCTATTGCAAGCCTCACTTCTGTCAGCTGTTCAAGGCCAAGGGCAACTACGACGAGGGCTTCGGCCTGCGCCCTCACAAGGAGCTGTGGGAGACCAAAGGAGAGAGTGGGGCTGGGGAGGAACAGGGGACCGAACAGACCACAGAGGCCACCTCCTTCTCCAAAGACAAGCTGAAGAAGTGCGCCTCTACTGGCACACTGTTGATCAGCCCAGCGGTAGAGGAGTCTCCACTGGCCAAGGTCAACGTGGTGACAGCCTCCCTGGAGACCCGCGCCCAGATCTCAGCAGAGAAGGACAAGCCAGTGGAGACACGTCGGCTGAAGATCTCCTGGCCCCCCCGCACCGAAGGAGATGGAGAGGGGGGTAACATGGGGGCCAGCCCCACCTCAGACGGGAGCTCCGCTGCCAGACCATCCCGTGCCAAGTGGCCCCCAGAGGGTGACTCGGCCTTCCCCGACCAGAGCCCAGAGTCCACCGAATGCTCAACCCTCTGCAGGAGCTCCTCCCTCAAAGAGCGCAGCCAGCCCTTCTCATTGGCCAGCCCCTCCCATGCTCCCGCCCCTGCTGCCAGTCAGACAACCAATTCTGAGCCAGAGCCGCTGGAGAGGAGGAGCTCATTGAAGGACAGGGAGCCTGAGCCGGCCTCCAGTCCTGAGGAACAGAGCATGGAGGTCCAGGAACAACCTGACAGCCTGTCACCTGACTACCACACGCCTTCTGACAACAGCTATGTGGATGTCCACACCAGCTCTGAGGAGGAGGTGACGGAGGGGAGAGTCGCACCTCTAAAAGAGAACCACCACAATTCACTAGAAACAAAACAAGAACAGGGAGTGAAGGAGGACAGGGAGGAGGAAGAAGAACAAGAAGAGGAGAAGATGGAGGGAGAAGAAGATGGAGAAGAGGAGGGGGAAGGGTTACCTTCACAAAACTGCCAGACTGCCTCGTCAGAGATCGTCACGCCCCCCTCTTCTCCAGAGGCGGAGCCTAGGCCCAAGACCAACCACAAGTCTCAGGATGTGGGCTTCTGGGACGGCGAGGAGGCCGTGTCTGTAGAGGAGATGATTAAGAGGAACCGCTACTATGAGGAAGATGAGGACGAAGAGGACTGAAAGAGACTGGTTTATTAAGCCATGAACATTATTAGACATGATTGACTGTAATCCTCCGCCCCTCCATTTTGTTTGAATTGTAGATTTTCTCTCTTCATTTCCCTTTAACCTAAGGAACCATGTCTGTCTGGCTGTGTTTGGTGCGCTGTCAGTTGTGCTCTCTCGCTCTCTCTCTCTCTCTCTGAAACTACTAATTGTAATAATTTATCTATGTCAATTTGACCTTAGCTCTGTGTTTGTCTGGAAGATGGCACAGTACAAACAACCAAACGAATGCTGATAATATGAACTTTACCCAGTGAATGAGAGACGTATTTGAAAATACAGTAGTTTTATTAATGTTTTTAAGGTGGTTTGTTTTATCAGAACCGCAGGATATCTGTAAGGACTGGATGGGTTTCCACCATATGACTTATTCTGCTGGTTATCATTGTTCAAATATGAATAAATAAATTGTTCTGCACAAAATATTCAGTGACCTCTAGTCTCATTATACACATGTAGATCGAACAATGAAAATGGAAAGCAAATTCTGGAAATGACCACCTTTTGATATGTATTATGTTATTAACATACTGTATATTAGTAAGACCTTAACTACAGAGGTGCTGCTGTGTGGATTAAAACAAGACGTGCAGCCATTTTTATCTGGGTAACAATTAAGTACCTTACTGTGATTTTTTTTTAAATATTAAAATGGTCAAAAATAAAGTTTCTTAGCAAAGAGCAATTTCTCAAGCAAGATTTTTGCTAGGACTGTCTGGGAATGGTCTGAGTGGGGAGGGGAAATGGAAAACTAGCTGTTATTGGCAGAGCGGTTTGGATCTCTCGCTTATTGGTCTATTAACTAATTTACCGCCTGGTGATGGTACCTGGCAGGCCAAAACTCCATCCCACTTAAACAGGCTGACATTTCAGGGAGTCTTTTGAAACAGCTCTTACACTAAAAGGGCATTATCATAATAATCACAGTTTTATTCCAACCTCAGTGTTGAAATATATATAAAACACAGGAAAATATTTTTTTTGACTGCAGTGGGCCTTTAAAGTCTGGGATTTTGTTAACATCAAGGGAATGAGGCACATCAGGGTGATGTGCTGTGTCCCAAATGGCACCCTATTCCCTTTATAGGGCACTACTTTTCACCAGGGACGATAGTGCTCTGGTCAAAAGTAGCGCACTATATAGGGAATATGGTGCCATTTGGGACGCATTCCGGAACAACATCTCGTACATTGGTAAGTTAAATCATACAAACAGAATGCAATGGGGCTGATTGATCAGAATCCCTGTGCAGCATGATAATGGGAAAAGTAAGACGCAAAAGCTGCCAAACCTCAAGTGAAAAAATGACATCTAGTGCCCTTTCTTTCTCTGTATACATAAAGACAGCTTCCGTCTCAAATGGCACCCTATTCCCTGGTTAATGTACTACTTTTGACCAGCGCCCTAGGGGCCTGTTTTTGGAACCAGATACATTCCTCTCAGGTTGAAATGAACATGATGCTGATCTCTCTGCTAGTTCCATCGTGTACTACAGACAGACACCACCCTAATCAAACATTTCTAAAGTGCTTGTGACAAAAGTATATTGTTGCAGCAGACATTGTCAACATAATGATCATCTCTTGTACAGTTTATCTATTATCCTCAACTAAAATATGGAAATCTGCTTTGATTGCAATTAAAATGTGTTCATGACAAATCAATCTGAACATGATATAAGACAAAAAGTAACTACTTGTAACCAACAAAGTGCATTGGATGTTTAACTAAACCCTCACCACCCATCTCCCTATTATAAAAAGCCAACAGTCTCTTTCCCACGTGACCAGCTCATGTCTTCAGTTATAGAATTCCATGTAGAGAAATCTAGGAAAATACTTAGGAGATTCTGAATCTATACAGTCAGAAATGTAGGATACTTTACAGTACACAATGTATACATACAGTATGTATACACTGAGTGTACAAAACATTAGGAACTCCTTCCTAATATTGAGTTGCTCCCCCTTTGCCCTCAGAACAGCCTCAATTCATCGGGGCATGGACTCTACAAGGTGTCGAAAGTGTTCCACAGGGATGCTGGCCCATGTTAACTCCAATGCTTCCCACAATTGTGTCAAGTTGGCTGGATGTCCTTTGGGCGGTGGACCATTCTTGACAACACGGGAAACTGTTGAGCGTGAGAAACCCAGCAGTGTTGCAGTTCTTGACACACTCAAACCAGTGTGCCTGTATCATACTACCCTGTTTGTGTTGCCCATTCACCCTCTGAATAGCACACATACACAATTAATGTCTCAAAGCTTAAACATCCTTCTTTAACCTGTCTTCTCCCCTTCATCTATACTGATTGAAGTGGATTTAACAAGTGACATCAATAAGGGATCATAGCTTTCAACTGGATTCACCTGGTCAGTATATATTTATATATATACAGTTGAAGTCTAAAGTTTACATACACTTAGGTTGGAGTCATTAAAACTTGTTTTTCAACCACTCCACATATTTCTTGTTAACCAACAATAGTTTTGGCAAGTCGGTTAGGACATCTACTTTGTGCATGACACAAGTTTACATTCAGATTATTTCACTTATAATTCACTGTATCACAATTCCAGTAGGTCAGACGTTTACATACACTAAGTTGACTGTGCCTTTAAACAGCTTGGAAAATTCCAGAAAATGACTTTAGAAGACTCTGATAGGCTAATTGACATCATTTTAGTCAAGTGGAGGTGTACCTGTGGATGTATTTCAAGACCTACCTTCAAACTCAGTGCCTCTTTGCTTGACATCATGGGAAAATCCACCACGCAGCCGTCTTACTGCTCAGGAAGGAGACGCGTTCTGTCTCCTAGAGATGAACGTACTTTGGTGCGAAAAGTGTAAATCAATCCCAGAACAACAGCAAAGGACCTTGTGAAGATGGTGGAGGAAACAGGTACAAAAGTATCTACAGTAAAACGAGTCCTATATCGACATAACCTGAAAGGCCGCTCAGCAAGGAAGAAGCCACTGCTCCAAAACCGCCATAAAAAAGCCAGACTACGGTTTGCAACTGCACATGGGGACAAAGATCGTACTTTTTGGAGAAATGTCCTCTGGTCTGATGAAACAAAAATAAAACTTTTTGGCCATAATGACCATTGTTATGTTTGGAAGAAAAAGGGGAACGCTTGCAAGCCGAAGAACACCATCCCAACCGTGAAACACGGGGGTGGCAGCATCATGCTGTGTGGGTGCTTTGCTGCAGGAGGGACTGGTGCACTTCACAAAATAGATGGCATCATGAGGAAGGAAAAGTATGTGGATATATTGAAGCAACATCTGAAGACATCAGTCAGGAAGTTAAAGCTTGGTCGCAAATGGGCCTTCCAAATGGACAATGACCCCAAGCATACTTCCAAAGTTGTGGCAAAATGGCTTAAGGACAACAAAGTAAAGGTATTGGAGTGGCCATCACAAAGCCCTGACCTCAATCCTATAGAACATTTGTGGGCAGAACTGAAAAAGTGTGTGCGAGCAAGGAGGCCTACAAACCTGACTCAGTTACACCAGCTCTGTCAGGAGGAATGGGCCAAAATTCCTCCAATTTATTGTGGGAAGCTTGTGGAAGGCTACTCGAAACGTTTGACCCAAGTTAAACAATTTAAAGGCAATGCTACCAAATACTAATTGAGTGTTTGTAAACTTCTGACCCACTGGGAATGTGATGAAAGAAATAAAACCTGAAATAAATCATTCTACTATTATTCTGACATTTCTCATTCTTTAAATAAAGTGGTGATCCTAACTGACCTAAAACAGGGCATTTTTACTAGGATTAAATGTCAGAAATTGTGAAAAACTGAGTTTAAATGTATTTGGCTAAGGTGTATGTAAACTTCCGACTTCAACTGTATATATATACATACAGTGAGGGAAAAAAGTATTTGATCCCCTGCTGATTTTGTACGTTTGCCCACTGACAAAGAAATGATCAGTCTATCAATTTAATGGTAGGTTTATTTGAACAGTGAGAGACAGAATAACAACAAAAAAATCCAGAAAAACGCATGTCAAAAATGTTAGCAATTGATTTGCATTTTAATGAGGGAAATAAGTATTTGACCCCCTCTCAATCAGAAAAATGTCTGGCTCCCAGGTGTCTTTTATACAGGTAACGAGCTGAGATTAGGAGCACACTCTTAAAGGGAGTGCTCCTAATCTCAGCTTGTTACCTGTATAAAAGACACCTGTCCACAGAAGCAATCAATCAATCAAATTCCAAACTCTCCACCATGGCCAAGACCAAAGAGCTCTCCAAGGATGTCAGGGACAAGATTGTAGACCTACACAAGGCTGGAATGGGCTACAAGACCATCGCCAAGCAGCTTGGTGAGAAGGTGACAACAGTTGGTGCGATTATTCGCAAATGGAAGAAACACAAAAGACCTGTCAAACTCCCTCGGCCTGGGGCTCCATGCAAGATCTCACCTCGTGGAGTTGCAATGATCATGAGAATGGTGAGGAATCAGCCCAGAACTACACGGGAGGATCTTGTCAATGATCTCAAGGCAGCTGAGACCATAGTCACCAAGAAAACAATTGGTAACACACTACGCTGTGAAGGACTGAAATCCTGCAGCGCCCGCAAGGTCCCCCTGCTCAAGAAAGCACATATACAGGCCCGTCTGAAGTTTGCCAATGAACATCTGAATGATTCAGAGGAGAACTGGGTGAAACTGTTGTGGTCAGATGAGACCAAAATCGAGCTCTTTGGCATCAACTCAACTCGCCGTGTTTGGAGGAGGAGGAATGCTGCCTATGACCCCAAGAACACCATCTCCACCGTCAAACATGGAGGTGGAAACATTATGCTTTGGGGGTGTTTTTCTGCTAAGGGGACAGGACAACTTCACCGCATCAAAGGGACGATGGACGGGGCCATGTACCGTCAAATCTTGGGTGAGAACCTCCTTCCCTCAGCCAGGGCATTGAAAATGGGTCGTGGATGGGTATTCCAGCATGACAATGACCCAAAACACACGGCCAAGGCAACAAAGGAGTGGCTCAAGAAGAAGCACATTAAGGTCCTGGAGTGGCCTAGCCAGTCTCCAGACCTTAATCCCATAGAAAATCTATGGAGGGAGCTGAAGGTTCGAGTTGCCAAACGTCAGCCTCGAAAACTTAATGACTTGGAGAAGATCTGCAAAGAGGAGTGGGACAAAATCCCTCCTGAGATGTGTGCAAACCTGATGGCCAACTACAAGAAACGTCTGACCTCTGTGATTGCCAACAAGGGTTTTGCCACCAAGTACTAAGTAATGTTTTGCAGAGGGGTCAAATACTTATTTCCCTCATTAAAATGCAAATCAATTGCTAACATTTTTGACATGCGTTTTTCTGGATTTTTTTGTTGTTATTCTGTCTCTCACTGTTCAAATAAACCTACCATTAAAATTATAGACTGATAATGTCTTTGTCAGTGGGCAAACATACAAAATCAGCAGGGGATCAAATACTTTTTTCCCTCACTGTACATACATACAGTACCAGTCAAAGGTTTGGACACACCTACACATTCCAAGGTTTTTCTTTATTTTTACTATTTTCTACATTGTAGCATAATAGTGAAGACATCAAAACTATGAAATAACACATATGGATCATGTAGTAACCAAAAAAGTGTTAAACAAATCAAAATATATTTTATATTTGAGATTCTTCAAAGTAGCCACCCTTTGCCTGGATGACAGCTTTGCACACTCTTGGCATTCTCTCAACCAACTTCATGAGGTAGTCACCTGGAATGCATTTCAATTAACAGGTGTGCCTTGTTAAAAGTTAATTTGTGGAATTTCTATCCTTCTTAATGCATTTGAGCCAATCAACTGTGTTGTGACAAGGTAGGGGTTGTATACAGAAAATAGCCCTATTTGGTAAAAGACCAAGTCCATATTATGTCAAGAACAGCTCAATAGGCAAAGAGATACGACAGTCCATCATTACTTTAAGTCATGAAGGTCAATCAATCCGGAAAATTTCAAGAACTTTTAAAGTTTCTTCAAGTGCAGTCGCAAAAAACATCAAGCGCTAGGATGAAACTGGCTCTCATGAGGACCGCCACAGGAAAGGAAGACCCAGAGTTACCTCTGTTGCAGAGGATAACTTCATTAGAGTTACCAGCCTCAGAAATTGCAGCCCAAATAAATGCTTCACAGAGTTCAAGTAACAGACACATCTGAACATCAACTGTTCAGAGGAGACTGCGTGAATCAGGCCTTCATGGTCGAATTGCTGCAAAGAAACCACAACTAAAGGACACCAATAAGAAGAAGAGACTTGCTTGGGCCAAGAAATACGAGCAATGGACATTAGACCGGTGGAAATTTGTCCTTAGGTCTGATGAGTCCAAATTTGAGATTTCTGGTTCCAACCGCCGTGTCTTTGTGAGACGCAGAGTAGGTGAACGGATGATCTCCGCATGTGTAGTTCCCACCGTGAAGCATGGAGGAGGAGGTGTGATGGTGCTTTGCTGGTGACACTGTCAGTGATTTATTTAGAATTCAAGGCACACTTAACCATCATGGCTACCACAGCATTCTGCAGCGATACGCCATCCCAGGTAGCTTAGTGGTTAAGAGCGTTGTACCAGTAATCGAAAGGTCGCTGGTTCTAATCCCCGAGCCGTCTAGGTGAAAAATCTGTCGATGTGCCCTTAGAAAGGCACTTAACCCTAATTGCTCCTGTAAGTTGCTCGGGATAAGAGCGTCTGCTAAATGACTAAAAATGTAAAAATCTAGTTTGTGCTTAGTGGGACTATCATTTGTTTTTCAACAGGACAATGACCCAAAGCACACCTCCAGGCTGTGTAAGGGCTATTTGACCAAGAAGGAAAGTGATGGAGTGCTGCATCAGATGACCTGGCCTCCACAATCACCAGACCTCAATCCAATTGAGATGGTTTGGGATGGGTTGGACCGCAGAGTGAAGGAAAAGCAGCCAACAAGTGCTCAGCATATGTGGGAACTCCTTCAAGACTGTTGGAAAAGCATTCCGTGAAGCCGGTTGAGAGAATGCCAAGAGTGTGCATAGCTGTCATCAAGGCAAAGGGTGGCTACTTTGAAGAATCTCAAATATAAAATATATTTTGATTTGTTTAACACTGATTCCATATGTGTTATTTCATAGTTTTGATGTCTTCACTAAAATAGTAAAAATAATGAAAAACCCCTGAATGAGTAGGTGTGTCCAAACTTTTGACTGGTACTGTATATATTCACACATTTCATTATTTCCAACCTTTGATAAGGGGTTACTTGATGCCAAGATGCCCTCCATGTGGTATGGAGAATATCATTTTTACTCCCACCAACCCAGCTCTAGCCTGGTCCCAGATCTGTGTGTACATGTTTGACATGACACTGACCATTGGAGTTGGCTATACAGCAAAAACAGATCTGGGACCAGGCTAGCTCAGCTCCAGTATGCAGGTTAGTGAGTGCTCACAGAAGGGCACTACTCCCTCACACAGATAATCTGTCGGCGTCCCAAATGACACCCTATTCTGTATAGTGCATTAGTTTTGACCAGGGCACGTAAAGCCTGTTTACCAGTCTTTTTAGCTAACATTCCACTCCTTGCCACTCCTGCCTTTGGCAAATGACAGGAGTGGCAAAGAGTGGAATGTTAGCTAAAAAGTATGGTACCCAGGCTAGGGCACATAGGGCTCTGGTCAAAGATAGTGCACTATATAGTGAATAGGGTGCCATTTTTGACACATACCCAGTGCTCATAGGAGGTCACTACTCACTCACTAGTATGGAGAAACAGAGAACTCAGCAGAACTGTTGGACATGCATTGCTATGTTTGGGGCCATGACAGACGGACAAAACTATATGTGTCAGTAGATCTCATGAGAAACATTAAAAAGGCTCCACTAATTCAGAGCCCAGGACCAGGTAGGACTGACTGTTTGCTTTTACAGGGAAAAAATTAAGGTTGATGAGAAATGATACAACAACAAATTGCACAGAATGAAGGACTTCTTAGGCCAAGTGGCTATGCCTTTAGTTTAGTTTTGCCACACTGACAGTGAGTCCTGATGGTAGTTTTGCCACAGTGAGTCCTGATGGTAGTTTTGCCACAGTGAGTCCTGATGGTAGTTTTGCCACAGTGAGTCCTGATGGTAGTTTTACCACACTGACAGTGAGTCCTGATGGTAGTTTTGCCACACTGACAGTGAGTCCTGATGGTAGTTTTGCCACAGTGAGTCCTGATGGTAGTTTTGCCACACTGACAGTGAGTCCTGATGGTAGTTTTGCCACACTGACAGTGAGTCCTGATGATAGTTTTGCCACACTCACAGTGAGTCCTGATGGTAGTTTTGACACAGTGAGTCCTGATGGTAGTTTTGCCACAGTGAGTCCTGATGGTAGTTTTGCCACACTGACAGTGAGTCCTGATGGTAGTTTGCCACACTGACAGTGAGTCCTGATGGTAGTTTTGCCACACTGACAGTGAGTCCTGATGGTCGTTTTGCCACACTGACAGTGAGTCCTGATGGTAGTTTTGCCACAGTGAGTTCTGATGGTAGTTTTTCCACAGGGAGTTGTGATGGTAGTTTATCCACAGTGAGTCGTGAAGGTAGTTTTTACACAGTGAGTCATGGTGGTAGTTTATCCATAGTGAGTCGTGATGGTAATTTATCCACAGTGAGTCGTGATGGTAGTTTTGCCACAGTGAGTCGTGATGGTAGTTTTTCCACAGTGAGTTCTGATGGTAGTTTTGCCACAGTGAGTCCTGATGGTCGAGACCAAGGCCGGGCTTCTATTCAAGGTGTATTACAGGGCGCACACTAGGAATGAATACGGAATGAATCCTAGTTTCACTACTCCTCTGATCCCAAGCAAGGCCTGATATGGTCACTGGTCAAGCTGTGACAGGCTGCAGGGTTGTGTTGCTGGGTTCTGGGATGATCTCATCCACTTAGAGGATGCAGGTTGGTCAGGTTCATCCACTTAGAGGATGCAGGTTGGTCAGGTTCATCCACTTAGAGGATGCAGGTTGGTCAGGTTCATCCACTTAGAGGATGCAGGTTGGTCAGGTTCATCCACTTAGATGATGCAGGTTGGTCAGGCTCATCCACTTAGAGGGTGCAGGACCACCTTGACCTTCTCCCCGCTGCTCAGCATCCCCACGGTGGGGTAGAACCACCTTCTCCCGGCGACCCATCAGCTTCCGGTTCCCGGTGAAGAACAGCTGCCACACAACACACAACCACAAAGACATTCAGATTCACTACTTTTTAAATTCACATTTCCAGTTCAGTAATTTAGCAGACACTCTTATCCACAATAATTTAGGCCGGGATTCAATCATAGGAGCAGTGTGGACTACAGGTAATGCACATTTTTAAGGCAATTTTCTTGACGCTCGCCGAGATTTCTGCTGATTGTTAGCTCAAGTGTAAATAACCTTTAAAAGTCAAGTTCAATGAGATTGTCGACAACGCGCCTTTAATTGAATCTCGGCCTTACAATCAGTGCATTCAACTAAGGTAGGTAAAACAACCATGTCACAATCATTGAAGAACACTTGCATAACCACAAGGGGGAGCCCAAAGGCATTCCCTACACTTACTGTAGCTCCAACTCCATCTCACTGACACTCACTCACTGAAATCACATCACACATCAAATAACTACCCAATTATTCTAAAAGCACCTCTTTATATGTATGCATATTGAGTTTCATGACGTCGATGAATAATATTAAAAAAATGTCAGAACAGCCAGTTTGTCAATATTGCCTTTCTCGTGTAGCTATGACATTTCTAGTGACTCCAGTGTGTTTGTGTGTGTGTGTGTGTGTGTGTGTGTGTGTGTGTGTGTGGTGAGGACCATGAGAATGGTGAGGAATCAGCCCAGAACTACACGGGAGGATCTTGTCAATGATCTCAAGGCAGCTGAGACCATAGTCACCAAGAAAACAATTGGTAACACACTACGCTGTGAAGGACTGAAATCCTGCAGCGCCCGCAAGGTCCCCCTGCTCAAGAAAGCACATATACAGGCCCGTCTGAAGTTTGCCAATGAACATCTGAATGATTCAGAGGAGAACTGGGTGAAACTGTTGTGGTCAGATGAGACCAAAATCGAGCTCTTTGGCATCAACTCAACTCGCCGTGTTTGGAGGAGGAGGAATGCTGCCTATGACCCCAAGAACACCATCTCCACCGTCAAACATGGAGGTGGAAACATTATGCTTTGGGGGTGTTTTTCTGCTAAGGGGACAGGACAACTTCACCGCATCAAAGGGACGATGGACGGGGCCATGTACCGTCAAATCTTGGGTGAGAACCTCCTTCCCTCAGCCAGGGCATTGAAAATGGGTCGTGGATGGGTATTCCAGCATGACAATGACCCAAAACACACGGCCAAGGCAACAAAGGAGTGGCTCAAGAAGAAGCACATTAAGGTCCTGGAGTGGCCTAGCCAGTCTCCAGACCTTAATCTCATAGAAAATCTATGGAGGGAGCTGAAGGTTCGAGTTGCCAAACGTCAGCCTCGAAAACTTAATGACTTGGAGAAGATCTGCAAAGAGGAGTGGGACAAAATCCCTCCTGAGATGTGTGCAAACCTGATGGCCAACTACAAGAAACGTCTGACCTCTGTGATTGCCAACAAGGGTTTTGCCACCAAGTACTAAGTAATGTTTTGCAGAGGGGTCAAATACTTATTTCCCTCATTAAAATGCAAATCAATTGCTAACATTTTTGACATGCGTTTTTCTGGATTTTTTTGTTGTTATTCTGTCTCTCACTGTTCAAATAAACCTACCATTAAAATTATAGACTGATAATGTCTTTGTCAGTGGGCAAACATACAAAATCAGCAGGGGATCAAATACTTTTTTCCCTCACTGTACATACATACAGTACCAGTCAAAGGTTTGGACACACCTACACATTCCAAGGTTTTTCTTTATTTTTACTATTTTCTACATTGTAGCATAATAGTGAAGACATCAAAACTATGAAATAACACATATGGATCATGTAGTAACCAAAAAAGTGTTAAACAAATCAAAATATATTTTATATTTGAGATTCTTCAAAGTAGCCACCCTTTGCCTGGATGACAGCTTTGCACACTCTTGGCATTCTCTCAACCAACTTCATGAGGTAGTCACCTGGAATGCATTTCAATTAACAGGTGTGCCTTGTTAAAAGTTAATTTGTGGAATTTCTATCCTTCTTAATGCATTTGAGCCAATCAACTGTGTTGTGACAAGGTAGGGGTTGTATACAGAAAATAGCCCTATTTGGTAAAAGACCAAGTCCATATTATGTCAAGAACAGCTCAATAGGCAAAGAGATACGACAGTCCATCATTACTTTAAGTCATGAAGGTCAATCAATCCGGAAAATTTCAAGAACTTTTAAAGTTTCTTCAAGTGCAGTCGCAAAAAACATCAAGCGCTAGGATGAAACTGGCTCTCATGAGGACCGCCACAGGAAAGGAAGACCCAGAGTTACCTCTGTTGCAGAGGATAACTTCATTAGAGTTACCAGCCTCAGAAATTGCAGCCCAAATAAATGCTTCACAGAGTTCAAGTAACAGACACATCTGAACATCAACTGTTCAGAGGAGACTGCGTGAATCAGGCCTTCATGGTCGAATTGCTGCAAAGAAACCACTACTAAAGGACACCAATAAGAAGAAGAGACTTGCTTGGGCCAAGAAATACGAGCAATGGACATTAGACCGGTGGAAATTTGTCCTTAGGTCTGAGAGTCCAAATTTGAGATTTCTGGTTCCAACCGCCGTGTCTTTGTGAGACGCAGAGTAGGTGAACGGATGATCTCCGCATGTGTAGTTCCCACCGTGAAGCATGGAGGAGGAGGTGTGATGGTGCTTTGCTGGTGACACTGTCAGTGATTTATTTAGAATTCAAGGCACACTTAACCATCATGGCTACCACAGCATTCTGCAGCGATACGCCATCCCAGGTAGCTTAGTGGTTAAGAGCGTTGTACCAGTAATCGAAAGGTCGCTGGTTCTAATCCCCGAGCAGTCTAGGTGAAAAATCTGTCGATGTGCCCTTAGAAAGGCACTTAACCCTAATTGCTCCTGTAAGTTGCTCGGGATAAGAGCGTCTGCTAAATGACTAAAAATGTAAAAATCTAGTTTGTGCTTAGTGGGACTATCATTTGTTTTTCAACAGGACAATGACCCAAAGCACACCTCCAGGCTGTGTAAGGGCTATTTGACCAAGAAGGAAAGTGATGGAGTGCTGCATCAGATGACCTGGCCTCCACAATCACCAGACCTCAATCCAATTGAGATGGTTTGGGATGGGTTGGACCGCAGAGTGAAGGAAAAGCAGCCAACAAGTGCTCAGCATATGTGGGAACTCCTTCAAGACTGTTGGAAAAGCATTCCGTGAAGCCGGTTGAGAGAATGCCAAGAGTGTGCATAGCTGTCATCAAGGCAAAGGGTGGCTACTTTGAAGAATCTCAAATATAAAATATATTTTGATTTGTTTAACACTGATTCCATATGTGTTATTTCATAGTTTTGATGTCTTCACTAAAATAGTAAAAATAATGAAAAACCCCTGAATGAGTAGGTGTGTCCAAACTTTTGACTGGTACTGTATATATTCACACATTTCATTATTTCCAACCTTTGATAAGGGGTTACTTGATGCCAAGATGCCCTCCATGTGGTATGGAGAATATCATTTTTACTCCCACCAACCCAGCTCTAGCCTGGTCCCAGATCTGTGTGTACATGTTTGACATGACACTGACCATTGGAGTTGGCTATACAGCAAAAACAGATCTGGGACCAGGCTAGCTCAGCTCCAGTATGCAGGTTAGTGAGTGCTCACAGAAGGGCACTACTCCCTCACACAGATAATCTGTCGGCGTCCCAAATGACACCCTATTCTGTATAGTGCATTAGTTTTGACCAGGGCACGTAAAGCCTGTTTACCAGTCTTTTTAGCTAACATTCCACTCCTTGCCACTCCTGCCTTTGGCAAATGACAGGAGTGGCAAAGAGTGGAATGTTAGCTAAAAAGTATGGTACCCAGGCTAGGGCACATAGGGCTCTGGTCAAAGATAGTGCACTATATAGTGAATAGGGTGCCATTTTTGACACATACCCAGTGCTCATAGGAGGTCACTACTCACTCACTAGTATGGAGAAACAGAGAACTCAGCAGAACTGTTGGACATGCATTGCTATGTTTGGGGCCATGACAGACGGACAAAACTATATGTGTCAGTAGATCTCATGAGAAACATTAAAAAGGCTCCACTAATTCAGAGCCCAGGACCAGGTAGGACTGACTGTTTGCTTTTACAGGGAAAAAATTAAGGTTGATGAGAAATGATACAACAACAAATTGCACAGAATGAAGGACTTCTTAGGCCAAGTGGCTATGCCTTTAGTTTAGTTTTGCCACACTGACAGTGAGTCCTGATGGTAGTTTTGCCACAGTGAGTCCTGATGGTAGTTTTGCCACAGTGAGTCCTGATGGTAGTTTTGCCACAGTGAGTCCTGATGGTAGTTTTACCACACTGACAGTGAGTCCTGATGGTAGTTTTGCCACACTGACAGTGAGTCCTGATGGTAGTTTTGCCACAGTGAGTCCTGATGGTAGTTTTGCCACACTGACAGTGAGTCCTGATGGTAGTTTTGCCACACTGACAGTGAGTCCTGATGATAGTTTTGCCACACTCACAGTGAGTCCTGATGGTAGTTTTGACACAGTGAGTCCTGATGGTAGTTTTGCCACAGTGAGTCCTGATGGTAGTTTTGCCACACTGACAGTGAGTCCTGATGGTAGTTTGCCACACTGACAGTGAGTCCTGATGGTAGTTTTGCCACACTGACAGTGAGTCCTGATGGTCGTTTTGCCACACTGACAGTGAGTCCTGATGGTAGTTTTGCCACAGTGAGTTCTGATGGTAGTTTTTCCACAGGGAGTTGTGATGGTAGTTTATCCACAGTGAGTCGTGAAGGTAGTTTTTACACAGTGAGTCATGGTGGTAGTTTATCCATAGTGAGTCGTGATGGTAATTTATCCACAGTGAGTCGTGATGGTAGTTTTGCCACAGTGAGTCGTGATGGTAGTTTTTCCACAGTGAGTTCTGATGGTAGTTTTGCCACAGTGAGTCCTGATGGTCGAGACCAAGGCCGGGCTTCTATTCAAGGTGTATTACAGGGCGCACACTAGGAATGAATACGGAATGAATCCTAGTTTCACTACTCCTCTGATCCCAAGCAAGGCCTGATATGGTCACTGGTCAAGCTGTGACAGGCTGCAGGGTTGTGTTGCTGGGTTCTGGGATGATCTCATCCACTTAGAGGATGCAGGTTGGTCAGGTTCATCCACTTAGAGGATGCAGGTTGGTCAGGTTCATCCACTTAGAGGATGCAGGTTGGTCAGGTTCATCCACTTAGATGATGCAGGTTGGTCAGGCTCATCCACTTAGAGGGTGCAGGACCACCTTGACCTTCTCCCCGCTGCTCAGCATCCCCACGGTGGGGTAGAACCACCTTCTCCCCGGCGACCCATCAGCTTCCGGTTCCCGGTGAAGAACAGCTGCCACACAACACACAACCACAAAGACATTCAGATTCACTACTTTTTAAATTCACATTTCCAGTTCAGTAATTTAGCAGACACTCTTATCCACAATAATTTAGGCCGGGATTCAATCATAGGAGCAGTGTGGACTACAGGTAATGCACATTTTTAAGTCAATTTTCTTGACGCTCGCCGAGATTTCTGCTGATTGTTAGCTCAAGTGTAAATAACCTTTAAAAGTCAAGTTCAATGAGATTGTCGACAACGCGCCTTTAATTGAATCTCGGCCTTACAATCAGTGCATTCAACTAAGGTAGGTAAAACAACCATGTCACAATCATTGAAGAACACTTGCATAACCACAAGGGGGAGCCCAAAGGCATTCCCTACACTTACTGTAGCTCCAACTCCATCTCACTGACACTCACTCACTGAAATCACATCACACATCAAATAACTACCCAATTATTCTAAAAGCACCTCTTTATATGTATGCATATTGAGTTTCATGACGTCGATGAATAATATTTAAAAAATGTCAGAACAGCCAGTTTGTCAATATTGCCTTTCTCGTGTAGCTATGACATTTCTAGTGACTCCAGTGTGTTTGTGTGTGTGTGTGTGTGTGTGTGTGTGTGTGTGTGTGTGTGTGTGTGTGTGAGTGTGTGTGTGTGTGTGTGTGTGTGTGTCTGTGGGCAAAATATCCTCATTGGGCTGCCTGTGTAATCTCAGCCTAAGTGAAAATTCGACGGAAGTTAAAATTGGGTCCAGACGGCTGACTCATCTCCCATTCAATCTCAACTCAGGCAAGTGTCACTATGTCCTCTTTGTTCTACACAACATCTGTAGGTTTCAGGGAGTAACTGGTATGTCATTAATGAGAACAAGTGACATTGGAAACTCTTTTAACTTCCTCTATTGTAAACAAATTGCCATTCTGGAACAATAAATGTGCACCTGTCTTATTGGCGTTATTTTCACCAACAAGTATGTAGTCTCGTGGGAAAAGGATGCCACAGCCCATGATATCACCCTTGAAACAGCGAGGACCAAAGGGTTTCCCAACCCCAGTGCCATGGACAATCTTCCCATCATCTGAGAGAAAGGGGGGATGAGAGAGAGACAGACAGACAGAGAGAGAGAGAGAGAGAGAGAAAAGGGAGAGAGGGGGGAGAGAGAGACGACAGAGAGAGAGAGAGTGAGAGAGGGATAGAGAGAGGGGGGGAGAGAGAGAGAGAAGGGAGAGGGTGAGCCTACGCTCGCCTCAAGACAGCTCCGCTCGATAAGATCTGACATATATAGCAGATCCTAGTACACGAGACTAGAATAGGTAAAGACGGGGGGAGACAGACACAGATAGAGAGAGAGACAGACATACAGACAGACAGACAGACAGACAACAGACAGACAGACAGACAGACAGACAACAGACAACAACAAAGAGAATAGAGAGAGAGGAGAGAAAGATAGAGAGAGAGATAAGAGAGAGAGAAGTAGAGAGATAGAGAAGTAGAGGAGACTAGACAAGAGATATAGAGAGAGAGAGAGATGAGGGGAGAGAACATACAAGATTTATTAGAATTGTTTAGATAGAGAGCGATAGGAGAGAGAGGGGGGGGGTGGGGTGATGGGAGAAAAGGACGTTGTCAGTGAGGACTGTTGATAGTAGATGTGATTTATGTTTATTGATTGATTGATTATCCAACTGTATTATGCTCAAATGTTATTTAAGTTTCATCAAGCGGGCACCATTGTCACCTTCTAATTGTTCTTCACAAAAAACATGTTACTAGAAACACCTGCAGCGGAATTTCACTTGAAACTCTTTTCAAGATGTCCTTAAGAAGGCAACGATTATCTAGGTAAACAGCTAGGTAAATAGATAGGTAAACAGCTAGGTAAACAGCTAGGTAAATGTGCTGCACTTGATGCTCTAATATTTCCAAGCTCTGGATTTAGTGCCTAGCTGTCCCATCTATTCAAAATGTGCTGGTCTATTTTGCACACTGTGTACAGCGAATAGCAAGGGGAAATGTTCCTGTAGCATCCCAATGTTCCATGGACATGATCACTGAGTCAAACAGGGCTCTACTATATGCTGCTTTACACATACATGACATTACTTCAGGATTCTTTCAGTAAAACAAATTCAATCCCCGGTTGAAAAACAACAAAACAATAAAGAATAAAGCGAGAGAACAATCAAAAAATAAATAACAAAAACATTGCTAAAGGTAGCCTGCAGTGTGTGCGGCTAGGTTGCTGCAGACATGATCCTCTCCGGTGTGTGGGGCTTGGTTGCTGGTAAATATTTGTGGAGTTGTCATGGGAGCCGTCCCCGGCTTAAGATACTGTTTAAACAATCTCTATCTGTGTGTGTGGGACGGGGAGAGAGATGGAGACATGCGGGCATCTGTCACAACACACACAACACACTCAGCAAACACTGGTGCCACACAGGGGGAGGAGAGGAGAGGAGGGAAGGAGAAGAGGGAAGGAGAGGAGGGAAGGAGAGGAGGGAAGGAGAGGAGGGAAGGAGAGGAGGAGGGGAGTGGAGAGGAAGAGAGGGAGAGGAGAGGAGGAAAGGGAGAAGAGGAGTGCGGATAAAAATAGCAGTGTGGAGTGTGGATAGAGAGAGGGCTCTGGCTAGAGGAGGCAAGGCTCTCTGGCACCTTAGACAACTGCTCAACCATACCAGGAAACCTGGCTGAAACCTGGCCAAGACCTGGCTGGAAGGCAGCTGAGGACCAGAGGGAAGAACAGAGAGGTGAGAACGAGACAACAGGGCTGGTTGGCGTTCATAATAAGAGAGTATGTCTGGACAACACAGGGGCTTCCCTCAATCCCTCCCTGGCCAGGCCCAGGGAACTTTGACTCAACTGGTTCCTCAACAACAACAGCTAGAATATGTGTGTGGATCTTAACACTACAGCCACTGATCTAGAATATATATACATCAGGTTTTAATTCTTAAAATTGGACTATGGGGGTGTTAGGATAGGGCCTGTGCCCCCTAGGCAAGGCAGTGGTAGGATAGGGCCTGTGCCAGCTAGGCAAGGCGGTGGTGATAAGGTAGGGCCTGTAGCAGGTGATGGTGGTTGTAGGGCAGGTTGGGGCCAGTGACAGCCAGGTTAGGTATTGGTGGTGGTTGTAGGGTGGGGCCAGTGACAGCCAGGTTAGGTATTAATAATAATAATATGCCATTTAGCAGACACTTTTATCCAAAGCGACTTACAGTCATGCGTGCATAATTTTTTTTGTGTATGGGTGGTCCCAGGGATCGAACCCACTACCTTGGCGTTACAAGCGCCGTGTTCTACCAGCTGAGCTACAGAGGTTGTAGGGTGGGGCCAGTGACAGCCAGGTTAGGTATTGGTGGTGGTTGTGGGGCCAGTGACAGCCAGAGGTTGTAGGGCAGGGCCTCATGCTGCTGGTGAGGAGCTGTGATAGGGCCATGCTCTGATAGCCCAGCACCCGCCAAGCTGACAGGGTTAATGAGGCTTGGTGAGCCGCTGCTCCCAACAGGGTACACACACACACACACACACACACACACACACACACACACACTCTAATCCAGAGCGATTTACAGGAGCAATTAGGGTTAAGTGCCTTGCTCAAGGGCACATCGACAGATTTTTCACCTAGTCAGCTCGGGGATTAAAACCAGCGACCTTTCGGTTACTGGCACAACGCTCTTAACCACTAAACTACCTGCCGCCCCAGACACTCACACTCACACCTAAACAGGGCGCTATGCCTTGGTCCACTCTGAGGGTCCATGGCCCATTGACACAGTCAGCACCATCACACTGTTGCAACACACGGAATGGAGGTCCTCACTGTCTGTGCCAATATCCCAACATCAAAACTTGTGATTGATATGAGTGATATGATACGCTGGCAGATGGCAGCCACAGAACATAAAAACAGATATGGGCTGATTCCCAAATGGCAACACTACTTTGAACCAGGGCCAATAGGGTTCTGTGGTTTAACAGATGACGGAGGTGGCAAACCAAACCAGGAAGAAGAACCTCTTCACAGTGTTCTGTCTTGGCTCTGCAAATAAAAGCAAAACAGCAAGAAACACTCTCTCAAAATTCAGTAAGGCAAAATAACACACACAAGTGGAAAATCTGCATTTCCTATAGAGAGTCTGTATGGCCTTGTGTTATATTGTCTTTAGTATAATTATTGCATACATAGATACTTTGGATACTTTGTCATGAGTGTCCTGAGTTATTGCGTTGCTGACTGTGTTAAAGGCTTGGATAGATGGATGGATGGATAGCTGGATGGATGGAGAGGAGAGCACTAAGAGGTTCTAGGAGGCCTGTTGATCTGGGGTGCGTCCTTTGGGCCATGGTCGAAAGTAGTGCACTATGTAGGGACTAGGGTGCCATTTGGGACGCACCCTAAGAAGTACTAGGAGTCCTGTTGATGTAGAGTGAAGAAGCTGGACAGGAGCCTGTATGTGAACCCAAGCATGGGAAGGCAAACCTCAGACGTAGAGTGGAAAACCACATACATCATTTTTAAGATTAATGGGGAGCTGTGCTGGGGCGTGCAGATTCTTGTGGAGTCTACCACCCGCCAGCCAAACCAGAGGGGGAGTCCACATACAGAACCCAGTCGGACTGACTGGCGTGGTAACGTTACCGTGGTGCCCCAATCCATCCCTCAGCGCTGCCTGGCTGTATCATCTCCAGCCTTACTAGGATTACGTCCCAAATGCCACGCTATTCCCTTTACTGTGCACTACCTTTGACCAGGGCCCTTTAGGGTTCTGGTCAAAAGTAGTGCACTAGGAAATAGGGTCCCATTTAGGATGCAGATTAGGAGAGATAGTCAGATAGTGAGGAAAATAAGCAGTAAGGTTGCGTGCTATAAAGTGCACTACTTTTGACCAGAGCCCTAATGGCACCCTATTCCCTATTTAGTGAACTACTCTGGTCAAAAGTAGTGCACTACACTGTATAGGGATTCGAGAATAGGATGCAATTTCAGACGCACCTTTAACTTGAACACATGACATGTGGCTGAGGCCCTGACTATAACCCCTTGACAAGAATGGGTTTAACAATAAGGTCCTTCAGACTATGTCTAGATAACTCTCAGCACCCCCAAGATACACTCCCTCTAGCTCTGATACAGTATCAGACCTAGCAGCACTTGATGGCTAATCTATAGTGATAGCTATAGTGATAGATGGCGGTGGGATGCTGGAGGCTTTGGGATGGCAGATGCCTGGAGACAGAGAGATAGCAGTGGTTGGTAACAAGGCCTGTCTTCACAAAGGGCCACACTAGGAAGTTAACAAACCGTAGCAAGATAACTACAACTGATTCTCTGATTGGCGAGAGCGAGAGAGAGATATCTCATTCCTCAGGGAGTTAGCCTATCGTCCCTCTTTCTTCCTTAAGACGTTTTGTTGTTCTCTTCTTCATCGGCCTGTGTGATCCTACTCTATCTGCCTTGGCCACCTCCAGCTCTACCTCCTTCTCCAGCTCCAGCCGAGAGAGATGGTGCCCAGAGATGCTTGGTTTGAAACTACTTGTATCAGAGAAATACACAGGAAACAGTTCTGATCCATCAGACATCTAAAACCTCCCAACAGTTGGTTCAAAACCCACATACTCAGGGAATGAGCTAACCAGTAAGCCAGACAGAAAACAAGTGATGAAGAGCACATAGAAATGTTGATGAAGAGCACATATAAATGTTGATGAAGAGCACATATAAATGTTGATGAAGAGCACATAGAAATGTTGATGAAGGGCACAGAGAAATGTTGATGAAGAGCACATAGAAATGTTGATGAAGGGCACAGAGAAATGTTGATGAAGAGCGCATAGAAATGTTGATGAAGGGCACATAGAAATGTT